TTTTTCTATTAATAACTATTTAACAATCAAATAAAAGATTGACAAGTTGTTTGTAAAAAATATTAACTATTGACTCTCAAATAAGTTGATCAACTAATTGACTATTAATAATGGAATTTTCTTCATATCACATATTGTTATATGGACATAAGAACTGTAAAGTCAGTTTATTGGTGTATCCTTCAAACTGCTAGCATCTTTATCACTTTCATGCTCAATAACCTTACGTTTGAGTAAGTTGTTGGTTGCTGCAGCAGCTAAAAACATCGGTTTCTTCCCATCCACTTTACAAGATAACTTTCCGCAGACTGATCTTTGAACATTGTGGCAAGAAGAGCATTGCTGTAGTTTTATGGCATGGTACACACTTTCTCCACAGTTACATTCATTTTTACACCGTAAAAATGCTTCTTTTTGTTTCTCTTTGTTCCATCTTCTTTCTTCCTTATCTTTTATTTCTTGATTTTTATTATCTTGAATTACCTTGACTAAGTCCAACACATTTTTTCCTTTCATTGATCCGTGAACCTGCGTAACCCTTGTAGTAAGTTTGGAAATTTTTGGCTTAACTTTCTGCACTGTCAGTAAACCAGGAATTTCTTCAAGTTGAATGCTTTTTTCGCTTAGCTCTTGAATTAGCTCTTGCAAACGTTCAAATTTTTTTTTCCAATACTGAGCAGAATTTTTTCTTTTATAAGGAGAATTAATAGTATATCTTCCATGAATTGTTGTACTGAGTGTAACACCTTTTGGAGTACCAATAAATAAAGCAGCTCGTGCAAACTTGTCCTGCTGCATATCGTTAACATTTAATGATGTGGAAGTTACTCCCACACGTCTTGCAGCTTTGATTATAGATTGATTTGGGGCCCAGTTGTTTCAAATACGTCCTAAAATCATCATAAAAGCTTCTTTATTTAGTGAATTAGAATCGGTAAAAACGTTTTTTTTCATACCACGAGACTCATGATAAAGGTTTTTATTGAGTTTATCTAAAAGCTGTGTCATACCAGTGGTATCCGGTACAGTTAATAACATACGTATATTTTTTGATTGTAAAAACTTTAAGACATCAAAATTAAAGCGTGAACAATGCCCATCTAAAAATAAAACTACTGGTTGTGCAACTTTTTTTTCAGTAAGATATTCATCAAACTCTTCTATACATATCTAATAACGAATTGTGATCAGATACACCATGATTGCACATTGTTATTACAGGAGATGCGGAATATTTGCCACAGCTTCCTGTGGAGCCATTTGATTAGTTATTCCAACAGTACCAAAGAGTACTTGACAGACACAAAGGTCTCCTAAAATTACAAAGAAATATTATACAACACTACCATTTCAATCTATATTATAAATATTTATCAAAAAAGTGATATGGAAATAGCTACCTGAAAATGATACTAGAGGATGAATGGTGACACATTCACGGTTCTCTCTTATCATTTTACAACATGTTTCCCTCTTTTGTAGCAAAAACAAGACCAGCAGGAGTACCATCAACACCAAAATTTATAAACTGTGGTGTTTCATCGTGATTAAATATTCTGCATAGATCAATATTTCCAGACCAAACTCCTGTCTCCTTTTGGGCTGCTTCAGTAATAATGCCAGACTCGATCAATTCCTCTGCAAGACTGTCTAAAGACAACCATGACAAACAATTAGTAACTCAGTTTTTCTAGAACTTTTTTCATGAATGTAAAGTAAGAATTCATAAACTGATAACAAGGCGTAGCTCTGGGTTAAATTTTAAATAAAGCATATGTATACTATAAAATATAATAACTCAATATTTACTCATACCAAGGTGGGAACATGCCATTTCCTTTGTGAAATTGAGAGCTCTATTTATTGACACATTTTCTTGTCGTTTGAGTGTTAAGCTTGGATTCTTAGCTTTAAAGCGCATCCAGAACGATTTACCTAATCTGCGTTTTAAAGAAAATTTAAAAAAAAAAAATTAACAAGTTAAACTGAAAAACTTCAAGCAATCACATTATATCTTAGTATGTTGTCTTTAACTACTTTTTAAATATATATATATATATATATATATATATATATATATATATATATATATATATATATATATACATATATACATATGTACATATATATATATATATATATATATATATATATATATATATATATATATATATATATATATATACATATATACATATATATATATATATATATATATATATATACATATATATATATATATATATATATATATATATATATATATATATATATATATATATATATATATACATATATATATATATATATATATATATATATATATAATATATATATATATACATATATATATATATATATATATATATATATATACTATATATATATATATATATATATATATATATATATATATATATATATATATATATATATATATATATATATATAAGTATATATATATATATATATATATATATATATATATATATATATATATATATATATATATATATATATATATATATATATATATATATATATATATATATATATATATATATATATATATATATACAAAAAACATAATTACTTGTTTTTTTTTCAAAGCATTTTTTGCATTTGCTGATAATGCTGTGAATTTTCTCCCACCTTTCAATCTTTTATTTGTGTATTGTCTAACTTTCAGAACATCAAGGACAAGTTTTGTTAGTTCTTCTTTGTTTATGCCCTGCATTGCTCGATTTTTATTCCTAATGTATGAAACAATTGACATCTTTTCTTCCTCCAAAAGAATTGCACAGTACCGCTTTTCAAGACCATTGACTATTTTCCCATCCCATGGTTTATAGTTTCACGATCTTTAATAAGTGGGAATTGTCTAGTTTTAATTGCAGCATGTCCTCTTACATTATTTTCTTTACACCATTGAACAGCAGCTTCAAGTTGTTTTTTTTTTTTCTAATGTAGCTTTTCTCTTTATAAGTGCTTCAGCATTAGAACTTGGGTTTAGAGATTTCATCTGCAAGCGAGTTTTGAACTTTTTGCTGCTGTTACTCATGCTTATTTATTTTCTTAAAAACAAAAAATCGAAAATCACATAAACTTAGCTAAAACTATCCTCTACGCAAGAGCGTAAAATAAAATCATTTTATAAATTTAGTATAACCAAAACGATAGCTAAAACTACTACAAATCTACTCTAAATCTTGAATTTTTGTAATATTACTTAGATTTTTGTCAAAACTAAAATAACTCATGTGGTTTTTGGGGTCCTAACCATGCGGTTTTTGTAGCGCCTCAGGTACTTCCATAAAATATAAGTTTGCAATCAAAATACTATATGAAGGGGAATTTAATATAACAAACTTATTCAAAATATGGGAAAGTTAAAACTAATTTCAAAAAAGTCACACACGATTTAAGCCATGTGGTTTTTGAGGTCCCATACTAAAATATAGCAAAATTTTGCATTGAAAAAAAAAGTAAAAAAAAAAAAAAAAAAAATTTTAACCCCCGGGAAGAACTTTTACTATATAAAAGAATATAAAAAAGAAAAAAAAAGTTAAGTTTTTTGTTTTGTACAAAAGATATGACAAAAGAAAAAATCACGTGGTTTTTGGGGCCCGTCTACCTGTATTGAGCAATGAAATAAGTATCGCCAAAATAATGAAAGTTGATGCCCATTATCTTATAGTGAGAGTATAATACAGTAGTTTATATATATATATATATATATATATATATATATATATATATATATATATATATATATATATATATATATATATATATATATATATATATATATATATATATACATATATATATATATATATATATATATATATATATATATATATATATATATATATATATATATATATATACATATTTTTTGTACCTGTATTTAAATAGCCATTTTATTTTGTTATATTTTGGTTTTGGAAAACTCTATACCTCTTTTTTTCATTTGTATCTGTTTCATTTAACTCTAAATATATTTAAAGATTTCGAATTTTTTTTTTTAAAGCATGTTCTATGGTCATTGTCATCTCCTAGACTATAACCTGTTTAACTCAAAAAATTAATGCAGCCTAGTACTATAGTATCACTTAAACAAGAAAACTGTTATAAATTTTAATTATTACAAATTTGTAGAAGGCAATATTTTTATTATTTTTTAATAATAAAAATTTAATCAAAAATACTCAATATATTGTCTTAATTTAGTTATACATATTATATATATCAGGATGAAATTGTAAACTATATTAGGCCATTATTGGCCAGTGTAATATCTCCATTATTGGCGCGATATTATTTACAATTTTGGCGCAATATTATAAACTATATCAGGCCAATGTTAGAGGGCCAACGCCAGAGGTTTTGCAGCACTATTCTTCTTTTTTTTTTTTTGAATATACATAGAATGTATGCACACACACACCCATACTAACAGCACATATAAACCCATTTATATACCAGTATGCATACATAAATACATACATACACAGATACACATACACATTTATACATAATTTTTTTTTTTTTTTTAATTTTTTTTTTTTGTAATTTTTACAAAACCGTTTTATATAAAACCGTAATAAGTTTTTTTGTTGTTGTGTTTTCAAATACTAAGTAAAAAATAAAACAAACCTGAAAATTTACACATACTAGCAATATAAAATATAAAGCAATATACAATACGAACTCAAATAATAAATATTTATACATCTATTCATAGCTATAAGTTTCAGTACAATCTCAATGTAACTTAGGTAAACTTAGTTTTAAAAAGGTAGACAAACCCATAACCCTAGTAATATAGAAAAAATATTCTCCATAGAAAGAATTAGATTTTTAAGCTTAGTTTTGAAAATAGAAAAAGAAGAAGGTAGATCAAAATTTTGCAAAATAACTTTATTCCAAAAATTAGGTGCACGATAATCAATACAAAGCTGATTAAACTTGGTTCGACATAAAACTTGATTTAGCAAATTATTATTTCTCAGTGCATACTTATTGTCTGGTTTCAAAGTAAAAATATTTTTAAAAACGTCAGGAGATAAGTTATTTTTCAACATATATACAAAACATAAAGTATTATATAAATTCACTTCATAAATATTAAGTATTCTCATTTCGTTAAATAAAGGTTTTGAATGAGTAAAACGATTGGAAAAATTAGTAATACGAATTGCGTGTTTCTGACTAGAAAAAAGACGTTTCAACTTATTCTTTACAGCACTTTCCCGAGCAATGTTTGCATAATTTATATAATTATGGATAAACGAATGATAGAGTTGGGTCAAGCTTTTTTTTATTTAGATAATCTCTAGATTTATATAAAATTCCAATATTTTTATAAATCTTGGTACATACGTGATCAATATGCTGTTTCCATGTAATGTGCTCATCAAGATAGACTCCTAAAAACTTTCTGACAGAGTCCCTCTTAATCTCGATTTGGTTAATAAATATTTTAGGCAGATTTATGGGTAGGTAATGTTTTTTTTTGAAACGGATGGAAAATAATCCATTTTGTTTTGTTAGTATTAAGAGTTAATTTGTTACGCATGAACCAGCTAGATATTTTTTTAAGTTCGTTATTCATATTTCAAAACAGTTTGGAGATGTCAGCATCAATAAGATATAGGTTAGTATCATCAGCAAACATAATGCTAAGTAGATTTGAAGCTTTATTTAAGTCATTAATGTAAATCAAGAACAAGAGGGGTCCCAATATAGAGACTTGAGGAACACCGCAAAATATATCTAAAAAATTTTATTGGCAATCATCCTTTCAAGAAACAATTTGTTTACGGTTTGATAGGTAGCTTTCAAACCACCTTAAAGTTTTTTTGTTTACACCATAATATTTAAGCTCATGAGCTTAAATATTATGGTGTAAACAAAAAAACTTTAAGGTGGTTTGAAAGCTACCTATCAAACCGTAAACAAATTGTTTCTTGAAAGGATGATTGCCAATAAAATTTTTTAGATATATTTTGCGGTGTTCCTCAAGTCTCTATATTGGGACCCCTCTTGTTCTTGATTTACATTAATGACTTAAATAAAGCTTCAAATGAGATAGTGTGATCTACTGTATTAAAAGCCTTAGATAGGTCAATAAAGATACCTAGTGTGTATTGGCAATTTTCAAAGGATTTTGAAATTTCGCGTACAAATTGAATGATTGCATGTTCCGTGGAGTTGTGCTTTTTAAAGCCAAATTGATTGCTATATAGTAGGTTATTGCATTGAAAATAATCATAAACTCTATTATACATAATTCTTTCTAATATTTTTGAAAATATAGGTAAGTTAGAAATGGGTCGGTAGTTGCTAATAATAGCCCTATCACTTTCTTTAAAAATTATGGTAACTTTTGCAATTTTTAGTTGTTCAAGAAAAATTTCTTGATTAATTGACGCGCCAAAAACTTTTAAGAGAATATCTTTTAATTGTTCAAAACAGTTTAGAGTTATATTACCATTAATGTCAAAGCTTTATTTTTTTTCAGAGTTTTAAATGCTATTTCAAATTCTTCAAATGATAATTTAGAATACAACTCCCCTGATGTAATGCAATCATTCATCGGTACTAAAAAATCACTAAGTATAACCTGCGTTTTTGGAATCTTATTAGCCTGTTCAGAAAAAAATTTAACAAAAAAATTATTAAACTCGTAAGTATTTCTTTTTGTTCATAGATGATTATGTTATCAACCTTGATGACCAGGGGAAAGAAACCTGAGCAGTCTTTTTGTTTTCCGCTTATTTCTTTTATTATTTCCCATGTACGTTTGGAGTTATTTTTATACTTATCGATTAAGCTAGAGTAGTAACTTTTTCACATTTTTTTGAGTTTTTTCAAACAGATATTTAAAACCTTTGTATATTTTTTAAATTTCTGGGGACTTTGTTTTTAA